CCATTGCTTTAGTCTTGAGCTAGTTGCTTAAATTTTCCATTCTACTTTCCTTATCAGCACTATCCAGTGGAATTTTCTGTGATGGTAGAAAATATAACATATCTGTGTTACTATGGTAGCCACTAACCTATGTGGCTATTGAGCATTTTGAAATATGGCTCATGCATCTGAGGAATTATATTCTTTTATTTCCCTTAATTAAAAAAAAAAATTAGTGGTACCTGGGCTTGAACTCACAGCCTTGAACTTGCTAGTCAGGCTCTCTATCACTTTAATCACACCACCAGCACATTCTTTAATTAAATGAAATAGTCACATGTGTTTAGTGTTTCTACATTAGGCACATAGTTCTAGCTCATAGTATTTTTTTTCCATAGTATTGTAAGGTAAATGTACAGTGTTGGACAGTATTAGTTCTTTTTGTTGCTATTGATTATTTGTTGATACAGGGCCTCACTACACAACCCAAGCTGGCCTAGAACTTACTATCTAGTCCAGGATGGTCTCAAATTCTGCTTCTGCCTGCTGATTGCTGGCAGTTCTTTCCCATGCCCATACAGTTCTTTCTTATTTTTTGCTGTCATCTACTTATGTCCTGGCCCCCTGACCACACTCCTTGAAGACTTTGGCCCCTGACTCCTGTCTTCCTGCCCACCTCAGGTCTTCTGCAAACTCAGATGGTTTCAGTCTACATGCTAGCACCTTGGCTCCTTGTTGGACTCAATGCCATTGACGCACCTCTGGGTTGCTGTAGTAACTTACTCCAACAACCTGTATCACACGTCTCCAGGAGAGCTGCACTGTAATGTCATGTCTGGTCTCTGACCACAACATCCCAGCCCTCCAGTTCTTTCTGTCTCTTAGCCCCAAGAAGCCTGGTCTTTTTGTCTGGTGAGACTTCCAGCTCTGTGGCTCCATTCTTTCCTTACACACTGTTCCACCTACCCCTATGTATTCACTTCTCTTCTTAACCAGCTTTGGTTCTGCAATACTTTACCTCTGCTCTTTAACCATATGGCCTCCTTTTGTTTACTGACCTTCTAAACTAGTTTCACAGCTTCAGACTTACTTTTCCAGTACTTCTTCCATGTTGTAGTTAGGGAGATCACTCTAGTAAACATCATCATATTACTCCCTGCCTAAATCTTCTAATACTCCCCATTGCCAACTACCACTCAGTCCCAAAATGTACCAAGCTTCCACAGGTATCCATACCTTCACATGTACTTGAACTTCTTCCTTGTTCTTTGCCTGAAAAACTCCTATTCTTCAAGATCCAGTTCAGATATCATCTCCAGGAAGTCTTTACTGATTTCTCTTCCCTACCTAGTATAGGTACCCCTGCTATGTGCCATCATGAACACAGGTTCATTGGAATTGCAGGCCTGGTTATCCTGTAGCATCATTGTCTGCTAACTAGTCTGACTCCACTTCTCAGCTGTAAGCACCTGAGGACAGACACTCAATTGATCTTTGTTGAATTAACTGGGTATAGGTGCTGGATGGATTGGTTTTGTTTGTTTGATATCAGTTTGATTATATTTTTCTAAAGATAGGAGGACTTTGAACATGTTTTTATACTGAAAGTATAGAGTTGTAATAATTAGAAAGCAAGAGGTTGGAGGTTTGGTGGAATAAGGGATAATGAATTGAACAAGTACCCAAAGGGGCAGAAAGTAGGATTCCTGCAGGGTATGGTTATGGTGTACACCTGTAATCCCAGCACTAGGGAGGCTGAGAATCACAAATTGGAGGCAAGCCTAAGCTACACAACAAGACTGTCTCACTGGGCGCTGATGGCTGATGCCTGTCATCCTATTTGCCAGTCCAGGCAAATAGTTCTTGAGAGCCTATCTCAAAAATACCCAACACAAGCTGGTGGAGTGGCTTAAGTGATAGAGTGTCTGCCTAACCCTGAGTTCAAGCACCAGTACCACCAAAAAAAAAAAAATCCACATAAAGGGCTGGCTGAATAGGTGAAGTGGTAGAGTGGCTGCCTAGCAAGCCTAAGAACCTGAGTTCAAATCCCAATACCACCAAAAAAAAAAAAATAGTAGATTTGGCCTCATGACCTAAAATTCAGATACACATAGAAAATGGAAGCAAAAGTTTCACTAAACAATACATATCCTTTACATGATGTCTTCTGATATTTTCTATTCCATTCTACCTACTTTAAAATAGTGGTCAAGATACTGTATATGGGTGAGCTGTGTCCCTCAAAAAATTCGTATGTTGAAGTCCTAAGGCCCAGTTACCTCAGAATGTGATCTTATTTTGAGATAGGTTCTTTACAGAGGTAATCAAGTTAAAATATGGTAATTAGGGTGGATCCTAGTCCAAAATGACTGGTATTCTTATAAAAAGGGGAAGTTTGGAGGTTGTCTCCAATATAGAGAGAACAGCATGTGAACATGAAGGTGACCATCTACAAGCCAAGGAGAGAAGCCTAGAATACTCTTCCTTTCAGCCCTCCAGAAGGAATCAACCCTGGCATCACTGTGATTTTGGGTTTCGAGCCTCCAGCACATGAGTTGAATTTCTGTTGTTTAAAGCACTCACTTAGCAGTTCGTTGTTACAGCAGCACTACCAAACTGATACGTTTACCAAATTGACCTTGTGGCTCACTATTGGGTTGCAATTGCAGTTTACAGACCATAATGCCTTCTCTCGTGCAATTTATTTTTTTAGTACAGGGTTTGAACTCAGGGCTTTGTGCTTGCTAAGTAGGTGCTCTACCACATGAACTACTCAGCCCCACTCTCATGCAATCTTTATAGCTACTTGGTGGAATGGCAGGGCCTGGAGGAAGCTAAGGCAATGAGGTCAATATGAGTGTGGTGTCATTAATGAAGATCTGGTTGTCTCTGCAATTACACAATCTGAAGATGAGTACTTCCTTAAATTTTGTACCCTGGGCACCTCACTGTAGTCCAGGCTTTGTTGAAGTAGGTATAACTAGTGTTCCCATTTGAAGGGTTTACACACAGTCACAGGGCTGTAAGATGAAGTCAGATCCCTGGCAGATTTGCCTCTAAATTCTGGGTTCTTCACATGACATCACCGTGTAGCCATTGTAGTAATTAGTTAGAAAGGAAAACAATAAATATTATTTTCCTACTAGTATTTGCTTCTCACCTTTCCACTCCCTGAAAGGAGCCAAAGTTGGAGACTGCATTTACTCTTTCCCCTCCTCCTGCCTGTCTTTGGGGACTTGGACTTCCTAAGGCCCTCCAAAGGCAAAGCCTGGCTTCCACAGCTGTCTGTGGATGTCCTCAGGGAGAGTGGCACCAGTTAGCACATAAAAAGGGTGTGTGTCATGAGCACACATGTGCTCCACCCTCAATTCATCCAAGTATTAGTTGTTAGACCAGCGTTTGGACGGATTCCCTGCCTGCCATCTCCATGTTTGCTGCTCTCCTCTTCCAGCCACTGCCTTGCAGATGCAACAAACTCATAAATGTGCTCACCTCCACTAGGCTTTGTCCTATCATAATATCAGAGGCAGTAATATCATCCCCAAATCTAGGGATCTGTCTGTGGGATGGAGACCCTGCCTCACACCTGGTTTATTCTGGGCCATAAAAATTGTGTGTGATGTTCAGTATGTGCCAGGCATTGTTCTAAACCTTCACACGTAGCATCACATTTCATTCTCACAACCTTACAAGTTAAGGTTTATTTGTTCCACTTTATAGATGATGAAACGGAATCCCAGAGTTGTGCAGTTAGTTTTGGCAGAATCTGAACCTAAGCAGCCCATGCTCAGAGTTCAAGCTCTTAACTGCTGTACCTGCAGCTTGTTCCTACCCTCTGCTGACTGGTTGGACCCATACACGTGTACTGGAGCCGACAAGGTGGTTCACAAGGACGGGGAGGGGAGGAATCAGTTCTGGCGCCAGGGGGCAGCATAGGCCTAGCTTTGGCCCTTCAGTCCGGCGCTGGAGAGCGGAAGGAGCAAAAACCTCTTCCAAACCTCTCCGACCCTCTCCGCCCCCCAACCCCCAACATCACCCTTTCCACACACCTCTTGTTTATCAGATTTGGGGACTCAAAATCTTCCTTAGGTCTCGTGTTCTCCTCCAGCAAGAACTGCAGAACAATCTACTAGTTACGATGACTCTGAAGCTGAGTAAGAAGCTGTGTGCGTGTGCGTGTGTCTCCACTGTGTGGCGTTGTGAGCCTGCCTGCACGTGAGTGTGCATGTGTGCGGTGTGTGTGTAGTCTTGTGGTAGCTGCAGAAATTGTGCATGCGTGTGTTTGTTTCTGGGCGTGTCTCAGTGTTTACCCCAGAAATAGATAGGAACTTCGCCAAGGCTGCACTGCAAATTCGTATTCAAACTCGTCCCTTGGGAATCGCAGGCAGCACTCCCGGGTTTAGCAGTAGGGCTTGAGGAGTGATATCCTGTGAGGAGCTGGCAAAAACAATCTTTGTCGGAGGGACTCCTGGAGTCTTCTAGAACTCGGAGCCCAAGGGGTCCTTTCCCCCACCTCCTCCCATCACTGTCACGCGACCTCTAAGGCGTTCCCACCGCTAACCTAGGAGTTCCAGACAGTCGCTAGCTCCCGGGCTGCTTTCCAGGGTCCTCCACTGGAAGGAGCGCAGAGCCCAGTGGCATTTGTTTCTTCAAAGTCCCGGGGGAGTCCAGTTCCTGGTGGCCCCAAACTCCAGCCCTGAGAACGTTTGAGTATGAGAGCCAAACAATTTAGGATGGCACGTCTCTGTTTGATACTAGGTAACTTTTGGGAGAAAAGTTGATCATTTTTGAGAAGGATAGAGTCAGTGGGGGTCAGCCTCCCCTCCAGCTGGCTCTAGGGCCTGGAGCCCAGTACTGCCCTCCAAAGGACGTGCTTCCTCACCCTGCACAGAAGGCACACATGTTCACCCCACTTTCTTCCTCTTCCTCCTCCAGCCCACTTTCTCTTCTCTGTGTCGTCAGAGCTCCAGGGAGGGACCTGGGTAGACAGAGAAGCCGGAAACAGCAGGCTGGGCAGCCAGGGCTTACACCGAAGAGGAAGGCCGGGAGAGGAGAGAGAGAGAGAGAGAAAAGAGAGTGAGAGTGTGTGTGTGTGTGTGTGTGTGTGTGTGTGTGTATGTGTGTGTGTTGCTTTTCTTTTTGGTGGTGGTGGCAGAGGGAGTAGGGCCAGCCCTGAACTCGTTGGACAGAGCTACAGACCCATGGGGCCTGGCAGTGCCCGCTGAGAGGGAGAAGACGGCAAAGGGCTTGCCGAGGTGAGGGGATGCCTGCGAGGAGGGAGGGTGGGGGGCCTTTGACTATGAGTGTGGGGGATGTAGTAACGGGGCCTCTTGGGATCCTCCCCTGGGCGGGGCAGATGGTCCCCTAGAAATTGTTTCAGCTAGTGTTAGTGACACTGGGTTTTGGCAGTTTCTGATTCTCAGAGGACTCGGGTGGGTACAGGCCTCCGCACTCCCCTCCCCCATTGGTCAGTTTCTCCACACCCTCAGCCCTGCTCTTACAGGAGCATGGGAAGTCAGGGAAGGAGGTGAAGGATGGCCCTCTGTCCTCTGGGTGCTACCCCTCCCTAGAAGGTTGCCAGAGGGCCGTGGGCTTGTCCAACCCGTTGTGTCCCCTGCTAAAAGGTTCCAGTTCAGGGTGTGGCTGGAGGGTGATCGAGCCCCAAATGTAGACCTCATGGTGCCCCAGAGGAGGGGGAATTTCCCCCTCAAAACTGCTCCACGCTTGGCTGCTGTAGACGCTGAGATTTCCCGGCGGGCGAGCAGCGTGGGGTTAACCCTCCTCGTGCTGACCTGGCTCCACCTACCTGTGCCATTCCCGACCCCAACGCTACAGCCACTGCCACTGCCACATAAGCACATTAGGCAACTCGCAGAAGCCCTTTTGACTTTAGATACTGTGATCCCACAATCAAAGGACTCGGGAATGTAAGGGTGGAGGTGATGGGGTTTAAGCCACCAAGCGGAGGAGGAGCTGGGACGTCGGGCTTCCCCGGCCAGTCTGGGAGGGATCTGGGAGGGAACTCTGGCCCCGCCCCCTGTACCGAAGCTCCTCCCTCTCTGCCAGGCAACTGAAGTCAAAAGTCTATCCTGGACAGATAAGTTTACTCAGGCTTGTCTGGGACTGGGGAGGGAGGAAGATTGGAAATTTGAAGCCAGGCCATGTCAAGAGGCTGGTCACTCAACAAGGGAATATATACCTGTAACTCCAAGAGGCTGAGACAGAAGAATCAAAAGTTCAAACTCAGCCTGTGTTACATAGTGAGATCCTGTCTCAAAAACAACTCCCCTCCATACATACACACAAGGGGATATAGGGAAATGGGGGCTTCCTGTGGCTTTGGGGAGGTCTCATCAATCCCCAGTAAAGTAGGAGTAGGGTCAAAGGTCTGGAATCTGAGAAGTTAGAGATGGGGAAGGAAGAGAAAAGAATGGAGTGCTACTTTAAATTGAAAACAGACTGAAGGAGTCTTCATCAGGTGTCAAACCCTGAGGAGAATGGTTAGAGAAAGGCCTGTTGGAGGACCCTGAGCAGATGGGAACGCTTCTACCTTTGAAAGAAAAGAGCTCAGGGGAAGAGAGACTGGAAAAAAGAGGGGCAAGAAGGTTTGGGGATGGGTATGTCCAGAGAAGGAGGTTCCTTTGGGAACCTTGGAACAGTTGAAAGGCTCCAAGACCAAGAGGAATGGGGGTTCCTGTGTTTGGGGAGACCCAGAGAGTTTCTATCCCACCCTCCCACTCCTCTCTGGGAGATGGACATTATGAGAAGCATGAACTGAGAGACCCCTAAGAAACCACCGGTCCATGCAGCCCTTCTTGAAGCCCTTGGGGGAATGGGGAATAACCCCCAACTCTACTTCTCTCATCTCTACCTTCCCTCTCCTTTTCTTCTCTCCCACCAGCCTTCTAGCCCTCTGGCTTCCTCACCTGCTCTTCTACACTCCTCACTCCAGGCCAGTGAATCCCATTATTTCTCTAGTCTTGCCCTCTTCCTTTCATCTCTACTTTTCTCTTTTCTCCATCTCCTCACACCCTTCCCCTCTTCTTAGGATGATGGGACTTGGATCAGACAGTACAGTATGGTGGTTAATCCCCACTCCTATTCAGAGCCTGACTTCCAACTCACTTGCCCAGTGGCCTTGGGCAAGTTAGAGAACCATTTTAGTCTTAGTTTCTTCATCTGTGAAGGAGCATAAGTACATATTTTAAAAATTATTGCTGGGGATCTAGCTCAGTGGTAGACCACTTGCCTAGCATGCATAAGGCCCTAGGTTCTGTCACTAGCACTACACAGACACACAAAAATTGTTGTGAGGTTCCAATGAAATAATATATTGAGTGGAGTGGAATACCTCCCATAGAGTATGTACAGAATAAATAGTTGCTATTATCACTATATCTTCTTCTTCATCATCTAGCCTGATGACTTCCGTTCTTTTTTTCTTTTTCCCCTTTGGTACTGGGGATTGAACACTGGGCCTTGCAAATGGTAAGCAGGAACATTACCACTGAGCTACATCCCTAGCTTGGAAATCAATCCTCTCTCCCTCCCTCCCTCTCTCTCTACCACTTGAGCCTTACCTCCAGCCCGATCCTGGTGATTTTCTAAGGTTCAGGAGCCTTAGAATTTTGTGAGGTTTCAAGGGACACCTTTGGGGTCAGGAGGTGGAAAGAGGGAAGACCTGTTGGAGTTCCTGACTTCTATACTTGTCTATAACAGAACAACTCCCATTTTGCACCTTTTATGTACAGTAGTCTATCTCCATCCGTGCTTTCACTGTCCATGGTTTTAGTTACCACAGTAAACCATACTCTGAAAATACTAAATGGAAAATAACAGAAGAAACAATTCATAAGATTTAAATAACTCTTATTATGGTCTATTGTTATAATTGTTTGATTTTATTATTAGTTATTGTTATTAATTTTGTCCTATATCTAATTTATAAATTAAACTTTATCATAGGTATATATGCATGGGGGAAAAAGTAGGCATTGGTTCAATAGTATCTTTTTTTTTTTTTTTGGCAGCCCTGGGGTTTGAACTCAGGGCCTCTGGCTTGCTAGGCAGGCACTCTTACCACTTGAGCCACTCCACCAGCCCCTCCCCCCTTTTTGGCAGCTCTGAGATTTGAACTCAGGGTAGGCAAGTGCACTACCACTTGAACCGTGATCCCAGCCCTTTTTGCTTTAATTATTCTTGAACTAGGGTCTCATGTTTGTGACCTGGCTGGCCTGGACCATGATTCTTTTATGCTTCCCTTGTAGGGATGACAGGTGCATCTTACCATGCCCAGCTTTTTATTGGTCGAGATGGGTTCTTTCAGACTTTTTGTGTGGGCTAGCCTTGAACCTTGACCCTCTCGGTTTCTGCCAGGTAGCTAAGATTACAGATGTGAGCCACAGGAGCCTGGCCCTTAAGTTTCTCTTTTCTTTATGTTTTGGTGGTATTAGGGTTTGAACTCAGGGCCCGGCAAGGGTTTGATACTACCTGCTGTTTCAGGTACTATTTGCAGCTTCAGTTATCTGCACAATGTCTTAGAACATGTCTCCTGCAGATAAGGGAGGACCACTGTGTTGGGATTCCATGGATTCAGAACTAAAATTGTCTACTGCTTAACAGAGCTTAAAAAGAGCTGGACATGGTGTTATGCACCTTGGTCCCAACTACTGGGCAGGTTGAGGCGGGAGAGTCATGCTTTCAGGAGACTGCGACCAGCTTGGGAAACATAGCAAGACCCCATAACAAAAAAGAGCAAAGGTTTAGGTAGTTCTCCATTCATCCAGCCCTTGTATTGTATGGATGAGAAGATCAAGAGTGCAGGGTCTTTGCCCACAGAGCTAGAGCCAGGTTCAGAGCTGCAACCCAAGTTTTCTGGCTTCTCTAGGATGCTTTTTCCCTACTTCCTTGTGCCCCCTTGTCACTCCACTTCTCTGGCTGAAGCTCAGCTCCTTTAATCCCTATTGCCCGCATCTACCATTGAAGGTTTTGCCCTGTTTCAGGCAAGGATGCCTGTGATCTAAGGTGGCCTGGCTGCAAGTGGCAGTGGGGACAGTCTCTGAGAAGGACATCTTCAGTCTTCCCCAGAAGCTAGGCCAAGTTTCTTGGGCACCTCTTGGAGAAGCTTTGTTCTTCTGTTCTAGGCACCCTCCAAACCTCAGATCATGTCTCTGTGGGGTCTGGTCTCCAAGATGCCCCCAGAAAAGCTGCAGCGGCTCTATGTTGACTTCCCCCAACACCTGCGGCATCTCCTGAGTGACTGGCTGGAGAACCAGCCCTGGTGAGCCCTACTGACCTAGGTCCTCCCTCCCACATCATTCCTTTCTTTAGAGTCTCTCCCTACCCACAAAATTTGGGACTGAGGACTTGTTCCACATGTGGTGGCTTAGACTTAGCAGGGAATCTGTGCCCCACCAAGATGAACAAGTATGCATGCTGACATGTGGGTGCCCCACTTCTTAGGAAACTTAGCCAAAGAGGAGGGAGGTTGGAGCTGGGGCAGAGGCACTTCTCATAAGGACAGAAGATTGGGGAGCAAGAGGTGTGATGCCTGCAGAGGACCAAGGTGGAGAATAAGGAGAGGGAAAGGAATCACTGAGCTATTGTCTGTGAGAGGAGGGTCAAGACTGCTGAAGAAGCCCTGGCCTAAGGCATCCTCATCCTGATGTTCCTACAGGGAGTTCCTGATTGGTTCAGATGCTTTCTGCTGCAAAATGGCTAGTGCCCTACTTTCAGCCACTGTCCAGCGTCTTCAGGCTTCCGCAGGAGAGCAGGGGGAGGGGAGTGCCATCTTGCAACACATCAACACCTTGGAGGTTGGGCAGAAGGGGGAAGGAGAAGGTTGGGGTGGGACTGAGGTGGAGCTGGGTGACCATTGGACACTGGAAGAAAACTGACTGGGTGGTGGAGGGTGTTGTAAGCAAAATGGTATTCCTGTGGTTAGCTGCTAGCTAGCATGCAAATTAAATTTTAAAAGTATGCAAATGCATGGAACTTCTGGAGTCTACAGTTGTGCTGACTTTCAGTGTGACTGGGAACCTGGGAATTGGAGGGGAAGGAGGACATGGATAAGAGCCAGGCTAACAGCCCACCACCCTCACTTCCATAGAGCATATATCAGAGGGACCCTTTGAAGCTGGTGGCTACTTTCAGACAAATACTTCAAGGGGAGAAAAAAGCTGTTATGGAACAGGTATTGTGAAATCCCATTTCCCACCCTGACTCAGGACTGTCTAGGACTTTAGCCTGAACTGTGGGAAACTAGAAAGAATTAGAAATTCTGGAAAAACTCCACGTGTTCTAGACCTAGAATGACCAAAGAAAGTTTCTGGGGTCAGAATGAACCAAGCCAAGTTTAGAGAAGTTTCAAATAAATGACCGAAAGTCACGAGTCCTGGGAATGACAGAGTAAAAGGGGAGCACTTGTTCTACCAAAAGCTAGGTCTTCTTCCCAGGGGATTCCAAAAAAAGGATAGGAAGGGAAGCTGTGTCTCTCCTTTTCTTTAGAGCACAGTGGAGGTTAGTATAAAGTGACGAATAGAGTGTGTTTCTCCTCTTGGTGTCTGTTCCTTCTACTCAGTTTCGCCACCTGCCAATGGCCTTCCACTGGAAGCAGGAAGAACTCAAGTTTAACACAGCTCTGCGGAGACTACAACATGGAGTGGGGGAGACCCGCCTTCTTCGGGAAGCCCTGCAGCAGGGGACTGAGGCTGGCCAAGGTGGGGATCAGTGCCTGAGACTTTGAGACAGTTCTGGGCAGTGTGTGGGAGTGATCCCCTCTTGGATGTCAGCTTTGACTAAATCTCCATTCTCTCTATATCCCTGATTTCTGTCCTTACCCTCAGTATCTCTACACGGCTTGATAAAAACTCCTGCCAATGGGACTGGGCCAACTGAGGTGAGTAATGGACTGAGAGGTGGAGATTGAGCTCAAAGTACAGATGGAAGGATGGAGGTGACACAGACAGACACACACTGAAGTGGGGGAAGGGAGTGGCAGGAAGGTGAGAAAGACAGCCCTATTCCAAGTAGCTGGGTGAGGCAGCAGTGTGTAGCCCAGGCTTAGGTTCCTTCCTCCCTACCCGTAGGCCCTGACCGCGCGGCTGCAGGAGACTGTGGGGGAGCTGGAGGCCACCCAAGCCCTGGTGTTGAAGAGGATCCAGATTTGGAAACGGCAGCAGCAGCTGGCAGGGAATGGCGCACCCTTTGAGGAGAGCCTGACTGCACTACAGGAGAGGTTAGAGCAAGGCTGACTGGGAAAGGGAGTGTGATGGAGGTGGGCACCTGCTGTCCCTGATGGAGGGTTCAGGGGTGTAAGAGAAAAAGAAGCCAGGTGGGAGGCCTGGGGTGGGCCAAGACTCAGAGAAGCCATCTCCAGCTGGCTGAGCACAGTTTTTAGGTCATATACTATACAAAATCACACTATATGTGATTGTACGATATATGTACAATCACAGTTACAAGTTCATCCAACCCATGCTTCTCTTTCCAAGCCCATGCCCAGAGGAATGGGGAGCTTTTTTCTATTTGGTCTTTTGGGCGGGTACTTTCAAATTTACCTTAAAACAGTTAGTGTTAGCAGTTATCCTAGGTACCAGAGCCCTGGGGAAGAGGCAGCTGGGTTTCCTCAGAAAGTCTAAGCTCTAAGAATGAACTTCCCACCCAGAGCCAAGGAAGTCCCAGAACCCCCTTCAGCTCAGGTGCCTGGCCTCTGCACCTACTACCTACCCCATCCCTGCCCTCACAATATCCTGCTTTTTCCCTGGGTTAGGGGAAGGGGATCTGGGCCAGAGCAAAAAGCCTGAATCCTGTGCCCTCTGACCACTGTCCTGGCCCCAGGTGTGAGAGCCTGGTGGACATTTATTCCCAGCTACAGCAGGAAGTAGGGGCAGCTGGTGGGGAGCTTGAGCCCAAGACCCGGGCATCACTGATTAGCCGACTAGATGAAGTCCTGAGAACCCTGGTGACCAGGTAGGTCCTGAGAGCCCCCAGCCTGGCCTCCCAGACCCCAAGGAAGGAAAGGGGGTAAAATTGTGAGGAGGCCCCCAGGAGGGATCCAGCCTTTAACTCCCCTCTATCCTCATTCCTAGCTCTTTCCTGGTGGAGAAGCAGCCCCCACAGGTTCTGAAGACTCAGACCAAATTTCAGGCTGGTGTTCGATTCCTGCTAGGCTTGCGTTTCCTGGGGGCCTCAGCCAAGCCTCCACTGGTCAGGGCCGACATGGTGACTGAGAAGCAGGCGAGGGAGCTGAGCCTGCCCCAGGGGTCTGGGGCTGGAGCGTAAGCTGGGGCTGGACCCACGGCTGGGGTAATGGACACAAGAGGACCCCGGGCGGCTGGTACCATGAAGAGCAGGGGCATGAGGAAAGAGTCCCCTGGCTTGTGGAGATCCCGAATGATCAAGGCAGAGGAAGGGAAGGACTTCATTCAGTCTCAAAAGGGGGGAGGCTTCAGAATTTGTCCAAGATATGATCTTCTTCTTTAAGAACCCAAGCAAGGGGCTAAGGGTATATCTCAGTGGTCGAGTGATTACTTAGCAAACAATCAGAATCTGTGCTGGCATCTCCAACTCAGCTGCCCACAGTTGCAAGATCAGCTATTAAATACATCAGGGGTCCAGGAAGATTGTCTGGAATATGGACACCCATACAGGCAGGCCATCCCATGTGGCACCCTGAAAGATAGACTTGAACTAATGATGGTGCAGCCACCATGTCTGCTCAGGCCCAGCACCCAAGCAACCTGCAGGGAAAGTGCTAGGGATAAACCATCCTCACTAAGTCTGTTTCCTTGTCTGTTAAAGGTAAGTTTAGATGAGGAAGAATAAGTGTGCAAGGCCCTGAGTTCAGTCCCTAGTAACACACACACACACACATATGCACAAACAACTCAAGCAAGGAGATCTAAGGCTAGTGGCAGCAGGTAGTTTGCACCATTCTCCCATGGACTAGAGCTCTTCCCCATGCCTGATCTAGCTGGGATGAGCTCCTTCACATTCTGACCCCTCTGGCAGGGAGAGCACTGGGGAGATCATCAACAACACAGTGCCCCTGGAGAACAGCATCCCGGGGAACTGCTGCTCAGCCCTGTTCAAGAACCTGGTGAGAAGCTGCAGGGTGCAGGTGGGGAGAGAGCAGTGGGACTGCTTGGATAGGATGTTAGGAGCTCCAGAGAAGTGACCTCTTCTGTCCTTTGCTCACCCGCTCTCTTCCACCCCCACCCCCGCCTCAGCTCCTGAAGAAAATCAAGCGGTGTGAGCGGAAGGGCACTGAATCTGTCACTGAGGAGAAGTGTGCAGTGCTCTTCTCTACTAGCCTTGTGCTTGGCCCCAACAAACTCCCTGTCCAGCTCCAGGTGAGTCCTGATCCCAGCTCTGCCACAGTCTGGGACCCCATGTCCTCCTCCATGCCTGAATCTTCACCCCTCCTGATGGCTCTGTACCCCAAGTGTCTGGGATTCATGTACATTTGGGCCAGGGCAAGTGGGGAGGAGCAAGACCACAGAATATGCATCCAGGGAATAGTAGTGTGCAGCAACTGATTTTATCAAGCACTTTTTATACATCAGGGCACTGTTTTAAGTCACACACACACACACACACACACACACACACACCTCAAGACCTTTTTATAGACCACGCTCTGTTTTAAGCAATACACACACGCTTGGTTTTCACAATAAATATTTTAAGGCAGATATTCTTACTAGCCTTATTTTATAGATAAGACTTGGGATACAAAGAGATTCAGTAGTTTGCCTAGATCTCACAGCTACTAGGTATTGATATTTGACCCCTGGAAGTCTCATTGAGCTTCAGAAAGCATTTAGTGACATGCCACAAGCTCTTTAACTATGTCATGTGAGCCATTAACTCCCCTGCATGCTCCGAGCCAGCCCTCTAGGATACACCTCTGGCTCAGTTAAGGAGAAATGCTTGTTCTTACCCCTTTAGGCCCTGTCTCTGCCCTTGGTGGTCATTGTCCATGGTAACCAAGACAACAATGCCAAAGCTACTATCCTCTGGGATAATGCCTTCTCTGAGATGGTGAGGAAATACCTCAAGGGAGGGGTGGGGCAAGGATGAGTTCTAGCACATGGTGTGTCAGCTGGTGGGTGGCAGGCGTGTTCAGATGCATGTGACTTTAACTCCTTCTCGTGGGTCAGCTTTTGTGCTTCTGACCTTTTTTCATCCCAGTCCTGACAATTTTACTGTTGTGGCACCAGAAACTTTTACTGAAAAAATACCATGTTTGAAAGCTAGCTCAGGGTACACTGAAGGAGGGGCATGTCAGGAAGGTGAGAAGGATAAAGGCCTCCAGAGATGATAGCCTGAGGCACTCTGTTCCTCCCCTTCCCCCCCAGGACCGTATTCCCTTTGTGGTGGCTGAGCGGGTACCCTGGGAGAAGATGTGTGAAACTCTGAACCTCAAGTTCATGGCTGAGGTGGGGACCAACCGGGGACTGCTCCCAGAGCACTTCCTCTTCCTGGCACAGAAGATCTTCAATGACAACAGCCTTAGCATGGAGGCCTTCCAGCATCGTTCTGTATCCTGGTCACAGTTCAATAAGGTCATCCCCCTGCTCTTTGGACCTCCCACCCTCAAGCTTTTCATCCTCAGGGCACCCAAGGCCTCCCCAGGCTCTACCCGGGGTACCGCAAGGATTTTCACAGCCCCCATCGTGCCTATCAAGAAGGCCTCTGACATGGCCCAGGCAGGAAAACCCCTCCATCCTAGGTGTCTCCCCAGAAGTTGCATTTTCTGGCATTCCTCAGGTCTTGGTTTGGGGACCCTCTGTCCTTCCTTTTTACCTGTGACTTGCATGAATCACTCAGATTGTGTGCAAACAGAACTCTAATTCAAAGATGACTTTGACCCATTAGGAAAATAGTTCCTATTGCAAAATCTGAGTGAAATTCCAGAGGGACAGCAGTAATATCGCTACCTAGTGTGCTGTGTTTATTATATGCCAGGCACTATGGCACTGTTTCACAGTGTGCTATCTTACTTATCCTCCCAATATCCCTTTAAGGTAGGTATTATTTTTAGTCCCATTTTTAGGGATAAGTAGTTTGTCTAAGGCTTTACAGCAGGTGACAGGCATGGCTATAATAGAGCCTTGTATTTCTTTTCTTTTTGAGGCAGGGTCTGGATATGTATCCCAGGCTGGCCTAAACTTGTGATTCTCCTTCCTCAGCCTCCCAAGTGCTGAGGTTACAGGCATGCATCCTCATACTCAGCAGGAAACTTGACTCTTGCTGCTAACTACTGTAGTTTACTGCTTCCAAAATGAGGTGGCTTAGGACTTAGTCAGTTAAAAGACAAGGGGAAGGAGATCTTATGTTTCAGTTGACACCCAGCTGGGTAAACACAGTTGTGTATTGCTGTCTTTAAACAAAAAAAGGAAGAAAGAGAAGCCCATGTGACCAGAGGATGTGATAGCAGAGGGAGCTGTACAATTACAGCCAGCTATTGCCTTCGTCTGGAATTACACCTTTGCCAGAACTCATTAGGGATTGGGTTTAGCACAGTGGTTACGAGGGGCTCCAGTACCAGACTGCCTGGCCTTAAATACCAGCTTTGCTTCTTCCCAGCTTTATTTGACTCTTCTGGGCTTCCATTTCATCATCTGTAAGATAGGGTTGTTATAATACCTCCCTCCATAGTTATAAAAAATTAACATATGGAAAGGCGTGGAATGGTGCCTAGCACATGATAAGTACTGGTGTTGTCTGTTGTCATTGATGGGCTCAGGTCCAGTTTGGTCCTCAGCTTTTTATGATCTCTTGTATGGCCCTGAGCCTGCCTGCCCTCACCAGGCCCCAGCTTGGGCCTTCCTGGCTCACACTTGTTTCTCTCCACCCCTCAGGAGATCCTGCTGGGCCGTGGCTTCACCTTTTGGCAGTGGTTCGATGGTGTCCTGGATCTCACCAAACGCTGTCTTAGGAGCTACTGGTCAGACCGGTGAGTCTGAGTCCCTGCCCCTGGTGGCCTGAACAGCTAGACCTGGGACTCCCTCTCCACACCCATGGCCACACTCTCATCTTCTCCTTCATCCTGGCCAGGCTGATTATTGGCTTCATCAGCAAGCAGTACGTCACTAGCCTTCTTCTCAATGAACCTGACGGAACCTTCCTCCTCCGATTCAGCGACTCAGAGATTGGGGGAATCACCATTGCTCATGTCATTCGGGGCCAGGATGGTGAGGTTGCCTTAGCCAGTCCTCTGTCTCTGTGTCTATTCTTTCTGGGGTGTCTTCTGGAAGGGAAATGGCCTGGCCTTCCTTGAAGCCAACCTGATTTCAGGAAGTTTTTCCTTTGGTCCAACTTTTCTTTCTCCTTCTATGATCTAAACTTCACCTCTCACTGTGAGCTCATGGCAATGGAGAACAGTGAGTCTCCCTTCCTCAGGACCCCTGCCCTAGGCCCACTCTCTCTTGCCTTGGTGGATCAGGAATGGGTCCTTTGGTGGGGCTGGGGAAGGAGAAATCTGGATAGAGGAGACCCAGGGTCTCATTCCTTTTGCAGGCTCTCCACAGATAGAGAATATCCAGCCATTCTCTACCAAAGACCTGTCTATTCGCTCCCTGGGTGACCGAATCCGGGATCTTGCTCAACTCAGAAACCTCTATCCCAAGAAACCCAAGGATGAGGCTTTCCGGAGTCATTACAAGCGTGAGCTAGAGCTACTATCCCTGATTCCTTCCTGTCATCCACCTCTTTCCTTCACTCCTCTCCCTGCCTGCTGTGTGTCATCCTGACTTCCCTCCCATTTTTGTAGTCCTGCCCATCAGCCCCCTCTCACCTCCCTTCCTCACTAACCATGGAGCACTCCCTGACTCTCCTTTCCTTCCCGTGCCACAGCTGAACAGATGGGGAAGGATGGGAGGGGTTATGTGCCGGCTACCATCAAGATGACTGTGGAAAGGTAGGTGTGGTGGTGTGGATGGTGGGTGGGGCCTGGGGGCCGGTACTTATCTGAAGGAAGGAGTGGTGGCCTCAACCCTTTGTTAGTCACATGTGCCTCTCTCTCTCCTCTAGGGACCAGCCCCTTCCAACTCCAGAGCCCCAGATGCCTGCCATGGTACCCTCTTATGATCTTGGAATGGCCCAGGATCCCTCCATAAGCATGCAGCTTGGACCAGATATGGTGTAAGGAGCCCGAAAGACAGGGAGAGGAGTGGTCTGCAGACAGGCCTTCAGCATGGGCAGCTGGGAGAGCTGGTGTGGCGGGCTGAAGCAGGAAATTTCCCTTTCTATGAAAGGGATTCCCCTTCCCAGACAGGGTGTGGGAGAATACAAGGGAAGGGTTGGCATCAGAGGCTCTGTTTTCTTTCCCCAGGTCCTCAGTGTACCCCCCACACTCTCATTCCATCCCCTCATATCAAAGCCTGCCCCCAGAAGAGTCGGTCAGTGTGCTGCCAGCCTTCCAGGAGTAAGTAAGAACCTTGGAGGATGAGGCGGGACAGCATCCCACTGCAAACCAGGGGTGTTTGTATTTGTTAGGGAAGCCTTCCTATAGGAGGGGCAGACATGCTGACACCCCTCTTTCTCCTCTGTCCACTCATATTAGACATCTATTTCATTTAATTTTTGTTTAGTGGTACTGGGGTTTGAACTCAGGGCCTCAAACTTGCTAGGCAAGCACTCTACCACTTAAGCCATGTCCCCAGTTCCTCTGTTTACACATGAAGGGCGTCAGATCCAGATTGCCTGGGTTTAAATTCCAGCTTTGCCACTTGGCTTCTTGGGCAGGTTACTTAACCTCTAGTGCCTCATTTGTAAAGTAGGGGATAATAATGATAATAATGATTCTATATCTCACATGGTTATTGTGAAGGTTAAAGTAGTTCATAATACATATAAAGGTGAGCATAGTTCCTCATAGCAAAAGCTGTTGTATTTTTCTCTCCTCTTTGTGAAATCTACTCTCACTTATCTGCTGTATTTGTTTATTTGTTTATTTATTTTGGTGCTGCATAGTTGAACTCAGGGCCTGGAGCATGCTAAGCACACGCTCCACCACTGAGATCTGCCCCAGCTTCTGTGTTTTTATTTTTATGTATTCATCTGTTTCATCCTTGATGTGGTCTAGACATTTTTCTTCCCCAAGTAATATTCAGGTGCTTATTAAGTCTCTTAGGCAAGGCACAGGTTGTGCCTACCAGGAGTTGAGAAGAGGGTGAGGACAGGGGATTTACAGCCACTAAGTCAAGAGTCCAAAGAAACATTAGAAATTGGCTAATCTGCACCTCCCTCCCACCTTTTTTACAGAACACTGCTCTCAGAGCACAGAAATGGCTTGCCCAAGGCCATGCAGTCAGTGAACTGCTAAGTGAGGATTGGCCCCAAATCTTGTTTCCTCACTCAGTGGTGTTGACTTTACAATACCCTGCCTTCCTCTGTTTTCTCCTTCCTGCTTCCAGGCCTCACCTGCAGATGACCCCTAACCTGAGCCAGATGAGCCTGCCTTATGACCAGCCTCACCCCCAGTGAGTTACAAAGCCCCTTCTGTCCCCATGTTCCCTCCCTTCACTGGCTTCCCCTCATTCCTCCTTATTTCTTCTTCCTGTTCCTGGCAGGGGCCTACTGCAGTGCCAGCCTCAGGAGCATGCTGTGTCTAGCCCCGAGTCCCTGCTCTGCACAGATGTGACCATGGCAGAAGACAGCTGCCTGAATCCTCCAGTGGGATTTCCCCAGAGCACCTGGTGAGTGGCAGCCCAGGCTGAGACTGAGTAGGGGCAGGAGTGGGTGCTGTGCCTCCACCACTGCCTCTCACCTTTCTGCTCACAGGGTCGGTGAAAATATGTTCCCTCCCCTCCTGCCTCCCACTGAACAAGACCTCACCAAGCTTCTCCTGGAGGGCCAAGGGGAGGCAGGGGGAGGGTCCTTGGGAGCCCAGCCCCTCTTGCAGCCCTCCCCCTATGGGCAGTCTGGGATCTCAATGTCTCACCTGGACCTAAGGGCCAACCCCAGTTGGTGATCCCAGCTGGAGGAGACCAGAGATGCTTTTCTACTGTCTCCATGGACGTGCTCTGGACACCTGCTCATGCTGGTGCCTCCCATCTCCAGCTACTCCTCAGTCAGGAAGAAAAGACTTTGCCAGGAGAATGCACGGTGTGGGGAGCCACTCCACTCCTTCCTTCCTACCACACACCGCTGTCCCCCTCTTCCAGCACTGGAAGTGACGTTTAGGCTCCAAAGTGAGATGCGCGCCAGCACACCTGCACCGCAGAACATACACACAGCTTTCCATGGAGGGTGATGATGAGCTGAGCAGGAAGCACACTGGGTGGGAGCACAGGTTAGGGCACTGAGGGCTTCTCTGAGCAAAGGCCTGGGACAGATGCCGAAACACACAGACACATGCAAACATTTGCACTAAGGGCCAGCACAGAGGGCATGGGTCTAGGTTCATGCCCTGGGGGTATGGAGAAGTTTGGGGGACCCTGAGGAGAGAAAGGGTCTGGACATGCGAGTTTTGCTACTATTAAAAAACAAATTCTCCGAAGTCCCAAGTTCTTGCCAAATGGAGACTTTTGATGAGATTGTGCAGAAGGGCCTAGCTTCTTCACATGTAGCTGTGCCAAAGCGTGTGCCTGAGACGCTAACCTATAGATGTCACATATTTGTTGTATGGCCATGTTGTTGTACAGAACATGTGTCTTCTCTGCTTTTGCTTGACAACACAAATTTGAAAGTATGAGACACCGCATAAGACACCAGTGAGGGTGCTGGCCTCTGACAAGTTAACCCTTATGTCCTGTTTGTGATTGTGCCCAGGTAGGTATGTGTGGCTATAACATTTGCATATGGCTATAGCTTTGGTGGCTTAACACCCCCAATACTGCCCGGAGCTGGGAGAAAGAGATTAGGTGCAGGCCTTGCAGTGTGGCCCTCCTGTATGTTGGGGGCCCTGCCTCCTCCTCTTCTATTTTCCCATCCACTGCCAGCTTCCCTTCACTCCCGCACCCCATGCCACCCTTTTACCTTCTAGGGGGGAAGAGGTCATGGATCCTAAGCCATAAAATAAATTTTATTCCAAAATAACAAAATAAATAATCTACTATACACAATCTGAAAAGAAAGACGCTCTAAGTACTCAGACAGGTGCTGCGGTCTGGCCCCTGCTTTGGAAGACCCCCAAGTCCAACCCAGGTCTTCCAGGGGCTGGCAGAGGGAACCCTACCCACCTTCCCCCAGAGGGCAGGAGGGAAAAGAACTGCTGAGGTCTTGGGGGAGAGAGATGGGGATAGGTGGGTAAACTGCAGCACTCATTAAATTAAAGAAACAAACTAGAAGCACAAAAATGGGGACAGGGAGGGTAAGATAGGTCCAGTATTCCTAGGCTCCCAGTTTGGGGGGGAACCAAACTGCCATTTTTAGCTGCTGGACCTTCCCAGGGAATCTCCCTTCCCCAATGTCCAAACTGCATCCTACTGTTCACACCACTGGTGGCCACTTAGAGGGAATGGGAGTGTTGTGTGAGGGAGGGGAAGAACCCCAGCTGCCCTGGAGGCAGAGTCCTTGTCCCTGCGTGGGGGGTGAGGGTGCACCACGCACCCTCCTTATGTCCTCTCGCCAGGCCCCTGCTTGTTATTGCTTGAAGCCCCATGGTCCTGTGCCATGGAGCAGGTGGGGAGGCAGGAGAAGGGCAGCAGAAGGATCCTTCTGGGACAGTGACTAGATTCCGAGGATGGAGAGTGCGGGGGTCTGTGTGAGCCAGAAGTCGGGGTCCTGGTTCTGAAGACACCAGTCCACTCTCATTGCCTGCTAGCCTCAGCCTCCACTTTCACGCTGCTTCTGCGACCTTCAACCAGAGCAGGATGGGGTCCTGGAGCTGGGCATCGGTCCAACAGCCCTTCCTCGAACTCTGCAGGAAAAAGGCATAGGTTAGGAGACAAGGAGGCTGTTGACAGAGGGAGTTGGGAACCGAGGAAGGGCAGAGATAGAAATGAAGATGAGCTCAATTTATTGAATTACTGCCTGCTGCCCACTGCATGTGTATTGCAAGGTGGGGAATGGGGGGGGAGTTCCATGCCAAGTGTGTGCAGCCCCCCTCCCCTTCTGGCTGTGTATATGTCTTTCTGTCTCTCCCGCCTCTGCTCTGCTGGAATTTCTGGTTCTGTCAGGAGCTGCGGGGGCGGTCTGGCTCTGACCTCTCCCCCTTTCCCCCTCCCCAGGCTCTGCCACCCCCACTTATCTCTGGCCCCCTCCCAGGCCCCACCCACCCTACCGCTGCCCCCTAAGTTTTTGGGTAGCCAAATCAGGGAAAACACAGGAAGCCAGTCTTCCAGCTCCTCCCTCAATAAGAGCTCCCTCTTCCAGTCCCCGCCCCCACTTCCCACCCACGCACAGTTTAAAAATACCAAGCCAGGGTTGGTGGCTTTGTCTGCTGCGTCACTCTCAGCCCAGCCGCTGCCTAGCCCTCTGCCGGCCCACTCCTTCTTCCTCTATCCACACACAAAGTATCCCCCAACCCCCCGCCTTTTGCTGGACAACCTTATCCCCGTATCTCCCGGCCCACACCACCCTCCTGCATAAGTGGAAGTTTTAGCCAAGCTTCCCTACTGGTGACTCTCCTTCCTGCTCACCTAGATTCCTCATTCTGTCCTTGCTACCTTTAGCTACCCCTTCACAATCTCCACCGGGGTCACACCCTTCCCAGTGTACAGCCCAGCAGGGACCTCGCCTCAAGATCTGCTTAGCTGGAGCCCATCCTGCCCTGGCTGGCAACCTTATCCTTCTCTCTCTCTGTTAGTCCCAAGACACCCTGGATGGCTGGGGTGTTTTGGTGGGCACTGCTGGCTGCCTCACCTGCGAGAGGCGGCTTCGCAGGCACACAGGGGCTGAGGCGACCCACGCGATCGTGGGAGACGAGGCGGGCGAGCCGCAGCCCCTCATCCATCAGTGTCTGCTGCAGGATGTGGCGGCTCCATAGCCCATGGGTTGGCAATGCCAGGGGCAGGTCAGCAGGGGGCGGCGTCAGCCTTGGGCACGACCCCACAGCTGTGGGCATGGGCACTGGTCAGGTAAGGGGCTGCAGCCAATGGAACCCCACCCTCAGCCGCACAGCCAGACCCATAGGCCCTCTGCCCCCATTTGGCCAGGCCTCCCAACCCTGTTTCAGGCAGAACCTCCTGGCTCCAACTGCCACCCACCCATCCACCCGCTTCCACCTCCTTCCCAAGGAAAAGAAAAATGCTCTACTGCACTTACCCTGCAGGTGTCCATCCAGACTCTCCCCAGACAGACTGGCATTGTCTTCCTCCAGACTGGGGCGGTATGGGGGTGCATAGGACTCAGGGCCTGGGGGAGGCTGTTGGATTTCAGGATGACTCTGTTCTCCAACCTGTGGATGCCCCAAATGGGGAAATGAGGACGTGGCAAGGGAAGAGACTGGGGCAGGCTGTTCCACCCCTACAACACCCTGGAAAATATACCTCCTGTTTCAGTTTCTTCAGTGGAGGACCTCCTAATTCTTCAGAGTGGAGCCTATGAAGATGGAGAATAAGAAAGGTGAGGTGGGGGAGGGCTTCTGAAAGGGCAGGGCAGAGAGTATCTGTCGAGGGACATGTACTACTTAAAAACTACAAAGAAGTCTCCAGCTCAGTCACTATTCTGGGTGGTTGTGAGGAGCTGAGATGGATGGGAAGAAAAATCAGACCTCAGACGAGCTGCCTTGGCCAAAGGAAAAACAAGTAGTGGGTGGGAAGCAGGCCTAGAGCTGCCTAAGCTGGAAGCTGGGACCTGATCCAACTCCTTTGGCAGAATTCCAGTCTAGAAAGGACCTGGGCGGTAGGGGGCATCTCACCTGGAGCCCTTCAAGGAGGACAGATAAGTGCTCTCTCGTGCCACTTGACGGGACAGGGAGAAGAGCTCCACCCTCCGAAGCAACAGTGTGTTGTCCCTCATGCAGAACTGGGCAGCAGCCTCATTGATGGTTAACTGTGGCAAGAGGACAGCCAGTCAGAATCCTGACTTCCCCATTGCCTCATCCAGACTTCCTCACACCTTCACCACCAGAAGGGGCCCATCCATAGAAGCGATTTGGACAATGCAAAAGAGCTTTCTGAGAAAACAGAAATAAGCACCCACAGCTTCCTAGGAATGCCTGGGGCCTCCTCCACTTTCATGGAGTCCTCCAATGGAGCCCAGAATGACACCAAGCTGAACAGCTAGGTTCTCCCCTGTATTTCTGCTTCCTCCTCAGTTGAAGATGGAGGAACTGCAGCAGCTGGGGCTAGGTGGCTAGGTGTATAGTGGGGGAGGAGGTCAGACCTAGGGTCTTAGTCAAGAGGCAAGGAAACAGAGAAAGTACGACTTCTCAAAAGCAAGTGAATTGAGACTCAGGAGTCAAGAGTAGTCTTGAGAGGACCTGGTCCTCACCTCATGCAAGCTCAGCTGCTTGCCCTCCCTCCGTTTGGAGTCAAAGCGGCCATAGATGATGCTGTACTTGCGGATCTCCTCTTCTTTCTGACTGTCATTATCATCCATCTCAAAGATGTGCCCAACGCTCCGTGCCAGCTTCTTATTCAGCTTCAGCAGGGATGTGACCTCCCCAGCATCACCCCTTGGGAAGCTCCGGAAGATCCTCTCCACACTCTCCACCACCATGCGTACCATCTCTGGCTCCAGTCGGTCTGGACCACCCCCAACCCCACCTGCTACCATTCCCCCAGCCCCAGTCCCCTCAGGGACTCCTCCCCCAGCAGGTGGGGAGAAGGGAGGTGAACCAGCCTCCTCTTCACCTCCTGCCCCAACGTCTGACTCTGGAGTGCTCTGGCCTGGCCAGATCCGGGGATCCCCTGCTCCAGGTCCCCCAGGCAATGGCGATAACTTCTCTCCAAGTTCAAGGGGGCTCTTGGGGCTAAAACTGCGGGCACTGCCCGCCTTTTCCCCTGGGCTGCTATGACCATTGCTCATGCTCCCTTTCCGAGTACCAGCAGTCTCAGAGATCTTGAAAAGTGGGATGCTGGATACAGGCACAGCAGGCACTGGTTGGCTGAAGAGCCCTGGATTGGTGGCCCACTCTCTTAGTGCCTTCTGCAGACGTCGGACATGGAGGGGCTTGGTGGCCATGCCTACAAGTGCCATGATCTCCAGGAACTCCTCCTCACCCGCCTCACACAGTTGCTGGACATCGTCCCCTCCCTGCTGGATGAAGGTCTCGTAGTAGGATAAGAGATTGGCACGCTGCAGGACCCGATACAGCTGCAGCTCCCCCAGCGTCCGAGGCAGTGCCATGGCTCGGGCACTTGCCCTGAGAAGGGGCACAAGAGAGGCAGTCAGTGTAAATGCCCCTGCTGGGTACCAACCCACACTAACAATTGTCCTCTCTCTCCTGCCTCCTTTTCATCCCCCCCCCCTTTGAATGCTGTCTCTGCCCAGTGCCCAAGCTGAGCAGACTGAGAATGGGGCACTGCTTGGAGTCACAGCCACGCCAGTGCCACCCCAGACTATACAGTACCCAGTCTGCAGAAAAGATTCTTAGCTTCTTCAGCTTTGATCTTTTTGATCTGGGACAAGATGACCTTGAGCACTGAAGCCCCCTAGCACATCCTGAGATGGCTGGACCTCCCCTTTCCCCCCAAACAGTCCTAAACACCCAGCGGTCCCAACACCACTTAATGTGATATCCCAAACCAAGGTGAATGCAGAACCCTTTCCTACCCACAGTGGATGCTGGGGGCCACTGCTGACCAGCTTCACCACTCCTTACCCAGGTGGCTGAAAGAGAGGGGTGTGGCCCCTTCCCTATCTTTCCTACTCCATAAGCCAGGTGGACCCCTGGTTCCTCTCCCCTCAGCTTTCCTTGGATCAAGTGTTTTTTTAATGCACCCTTGCTTTCTTCCTTTTTTGGCTGCCGGGTGCCCCTCAGCTGTTCCCTCCTCTGGTGTGGCCTTCTCTACTAGCTCAGTAGGCCTGTCCCTTCAGCTCAGGCGATGGGGGAAGGGACAGGCGCCTCAATTGTTCTGCTCTGGGGCCGGTTCTGCCCACACACTCCCACAGTGGTAGCGTCTGTGGGCGAAAACCGCCTGGGGGCTCCCGCCTACTCTCCCCTCCCTTGTTTTCCACCCACATCTTGGAGGTAAGTGGGGGAGCCACTCAAAACCTCTTTGCGTCGGGACTGCACATGTAAACTCCCCTCCCCACGTTATGAACGAAGGGTCAGGTAGGGAAGGGGCCGGAAGGGCCGCCTGAGGCATTCCCTGCCACCTCAAGTCCCACTGATGCTCCTGTAACTCAAAGGCAACGCTTTTCCTGGACCTGGGGAGTGTGCGCTGAGTGCGAACAACAGACCGAGCCAGCTGGGCTCCCCCACCCCCTGCACTGTTGCCAGCTCTAACTCCAGGGCTTCCCCTAGCGCTTGGGGGCTCCCGCATTCCTTGCAGGGGGTTCACATGCCAGGTCATGCCCACAGAGTAAATCTGTAATGGAGAATGAGGTAGTACTCTTTTGTGTCTACCTTCATCATCAGATCCTTGTTTGCTCCCCGGGTCCCCTAATTCAAAGACTCACCCCTTTTCCATCAGTCTCCACCCCCCACCCCCGTCCCGCTTCCCCACGTCCTCTCTTCGACCTCCACCCTCCGGACCCCATTCCCTAGTCCAGCTCCACCCATCTCTACTCCCCGCTACCTCCCTTTGCTCACTAACTTGAGTCTGGGCTGCGGGGTCCGGCGGGCGCTGTCCCCTCCGCCCGATGGCTTGTCAGCTGTGGGAGAAGGCGCTCTGTGCATGGACGGCCGGAGACCACCCGGGCCGTCCCTCTTCGTGCCCGGCACTCGGCCCCTGATGTGCGCTGCGCTCTGCCCGGTGCGCGAGGCCGTGTCCACCGCTGTCCAGGCTCCGTCCCTCCCTCCACGTCTTCTCTCCCCGAGCCTCCGCGTCTCTGTCTGTGCCTCTGCCCCCCCCCCACTCCCCGGCTGCGCTTGCCGCCTCTCCGCGCCTCCACCCCCGCAGGACGCACGGAGAGCGAGGCCCGGCGCTGCGCTGGCTGCCGGGCTGGCGGGAGGAGGGCGTGGGTAGAGCCGGAGGCTGGGACCGGGGGTGGGGGGTGGGAGCCGGGGCCTTTGGGCCGCCGAGACCATGCAGCAGAGAGACAGAGATGAGGAAACTGGGGGGCGGAGAGGGGGGAAAAGGTGTGGAGCCGAGGCGGGGGTGGGTACTCGGAGCCGGGCACCGAGTTGGGGACCGAGGTGACCGAGGCTGGGCTGTGGAGGGGGAGCTTGGGGACCCGACGGGCGGGGCGAGGTCGCTCTGCGCCGCCCACGCCGGATGCACAGCCGGCCCTCTCTGCGCCCACGAACCCACGTGAGCGCCCCGCCGGCTACATTCCTACTCCCCCCACCAGTCCTATCCCTGGGAGTTGAGAGTGCAATTTCACAACCACGCTCAGGTACACAAAGACATAAAAGCGCACATATGTGGACACGCGTCTAAACAACTACGCGGACGCCCGCTGCCCACACTCTGGCCTCACCGTGCTGTTCGTGTGAATGTTAAGACTGAGCAGGGAAAAGTTGGCAGAGGCTAGGGTGCGCGGCTTTTGTGCAGCTCACTCCCATAAAGCGTGCACTTATGGCAAGTTTGAGCGTGGGGCTCTGTAGGAATACCTTAGACATCCTAGCGGCCTTCTGTGATCCCCAAAGGAGTAATTTGAAGGGGCCGCTCTTGGAAACACAAGTCTCCAGTCCTCGCGAAGTTTGGGGACTAGGGATGGGCGGGTTATGATAGAAGCTACCGTTTAGGCGCGCATAGATTAGGCGTGTCGGGTTTTGTTGGGAGTAGTAGGTCAGGCAAGCATCGGGGCACCCTGTCTTCCTCTACTTGTAGCACCATATTTGCTGAGAATGGGGACCTGCTCCTTGGGTCTGAGTGGCAAAGCTGGGATGAGGAGGATACCCCCTGTGCGATCTGTTAGGGAACCTTGCCCAGAGAGAATGTAGAGAAAGATGAGCTGAAACCCCAAAGCATCCGACGTGAATCCCTACGGAACAGCTAGAGGGAGGAGTGCCTTCAATGAGCCCAGCCCCGCTCCAAACCTACCGCCCCTCCCCCTCTTTGGTTTCTCCTAGTCCCATCTGGTTCCCATTACTCTCCCGCCCACGCCTAGGAAAGCGGGGTGGGGGGGAGCGCTCTAGGCCCTGGGGAAATGATGTGGGGGGCGGCAAGAAAAGAACTGGGATGGTCAGGGGCAAGGGTTCCCTTAGTCCGAAACCTCAGCCCCGCCCCACCGTTCTGCACTTCTGAGTGGCGCGGCCCAGCAGGGCGTGGGTGGCGTGGGTCGGAGCTGGTTCCACATTCCGGCCTGACGAGGGGACCTTTCCGTCTCTGGTGGAGGAAGGGTGTATTATTGGTGGGGGAGTTTAGTAGCTCAGATTCTTGTCTCCATCCCATTTAACGCCAAATACAATGGGGGTGGTAGGAAGGCACAGGGTCCCCCGTCCTGCAAGTGGAGTCCGGGCTTCCCTAGAGGGACTCCCTGAGGGGCGCTCCCAGACCCTCAGAGGGTGGCGCCCCTCCCCCACCCCCGGGTTATTTTGGAGTCTGGGCTGCCAGCCGCTGGCCCCGGGTTTCCACGTGCCCCCGCCCTCCCCCCGCCCACGCTCCCCGTGACGCACATCCTCCGCCCACGTAGCCTGTGCTGGAGGCGCCCCCCTCCCTCCCACCGGCACCTTGGGGCGGGCTGAGTCCTGGGATCTGGAGGGAGACGCCCGCCCGCAGAAAGGAACGGAGTAGGGTGTGAAGCAAAGGGGCGGCAACCTACTGGGCACCGGCCGCCTGGGTCCCGGTCCAGGAAGAGGACGAGGGAGGAGCCGAAGCAGAGGCTTCCACTCCCGGATCCTGGGGCCGGTGCTTGACCAGAGGAGGAAGGAGAGGAGAAAGGCCCGCCTGGGACTTGTCCACTCCCCTAGGTCAGAAGGAGGTCTGCGTGCGAACTTGTGAAGCAGAAACTACCTAGTGTTTGGATCTTTGTTTCTCAAGACTTGTTATGGGATTCAAGTAGAGAATGTATATGAAAACTGCAAATTGTAGAATTTAAGCTGATTTAAAACTCTGGACAACATCTCAAATTTATTTATTTACATCTACTTGTATAGCTGTATCTCTGTCTCTCTAGGTTTGTATCTGAGCCCCTATATACGGATTTAAAAATACATACATTTAAAAAATCATTGACTTGTCAGGCCCCGCCAGAGGCCCAGAGCGCCCCCGCAGCCGGAGCTGTTGAGATGTCTGTTCTTTGCTTTCCTCCCACTCTTAACACCCCCACCTCCCCTCCTACTCCCTTCCGTTAAGAACAAGGAATTTCCAGCCTTTAGCAAAGGGAGAGAGATAAAGACCAGGAGAAACTATAGAAAAACAAAAGATAAAGAGACAGGTGTGTGTGTGTGGGGGGGGGGGTGACAAAAAAGGGAGTGGGGACAAATACAAAAATTTTCATTTCTTTTTGTACATGGATCCTATTTTCCCCAAGACCCTTCTTTCTCACTCAGGACCACATCCTTACCTGATTCACCTGCTCCTCCGACCCTCAGGGTGCTCAAAGGCACTCAGCAGAGGTAACAGATCTCATTTAATCAAAGTTTAATACTCCCTTATATTGTCTCTTTCAAGAAGAGAAACTGTACCTTGGTCCTAGTTTTCCAGGAAAGGGGCGAAGGAGGAGACTTAGGAAAAAGGGAGAAAGTGGGTGGAAGAGGAGTGAGGATGCTGCAAACCAGAAGGATTGTTGTTCCCAGGCACGAGTAGATTTTCATGGAGCAGATTGCTTTGCTCACTCCTCTCCCTCCCCCCCACCACCACGTTTTCCGAGTGCCAAATTCGACTCACTAGGCAAGGGCTGGCTCAAACTCACCTTCCTGGAGCCTCTCCTTCCAGGGCCCCTCCATGTCTCCAGGCAGAATTAATTACTCTTCCCTCTCTGAGGCTTCCTGGGTCTTCATTCACCATTTCAATTCAGTTGCTTGTTTTACCCTCAGCTTAGGACCTCGCCAAAGCAGGCCTAATATCTGGTGGGTCCTCTGAAAAAAAATGAAATGGTGATGCTACTCACACAGGCTTGAGGAATTTTGGAAAGGGCAGCTGACCCAGATTTTACTTCAAAAGGGCCTAGCCTGGATGACATTGTTTAAGTGGAAACCTTCCTTTTCCATGTAGATTTCCAGTGAGTCCCACAAGTCTGGCTTGATGGTATTCTGAAATGTCCATTATTCTGGTAAACTAATTTACCAGATACTATAGGTAGAAGGCTGAAATTGGAAAACAACAGTAACATATCAATTTAGCTAATCTAAGAAGTGTTAGTCTTTCAATTTAGCTCTTTTACAAGAAATGCTTTATCTCTCAAAGACACATAATCCTAATCTGTGTCTTTAAGGAACTAATAGACTACTTGAGCTACCTTGTAAGCAATTGCAACACATTGCAATAATAAGGGTACAAACAATGACTAAAGTATAAAGGAGCAAGCGGTTCTGCCTGTGGTTGTGAGGGACTGGCTTAGACAGGTATCCAAAGTAGATGATGAGGCAGTCTAGGATTTTAAAGTATGGATATCATACACAGATGACACACAGGAATTTTCAACTGTTGAGGGTTCTTGGGTCTGCTCTGAGAATGAAATCAGAGGTCAGAGGTCAGAAAGATTTTATTTGTAAAGAAGAGAAGAGAAAGGCTGCATGGGGGCATGCAGCAGGTGGTCTGGTGGGTCAGGTTGGAAATAAGGTTTTTATAGCCTTTTTGGTATTGCCCGAGGGCAGAGCTGTCTCTCAGGTGCAAACAGAGGTTTCCTGGGAAGAAGTGTCTCATTGGCCAATTATCACCTTCCTGGTGGACTTCCTGTAGTCCACCCTTCAAATAGATGATTTCCAGGAAGAAATGAAGTCAAGCCAGGGAGACCAGAAATATATGCACTTGTATGGAAGAATGAAATAACCATATGTTTGAGAAAGCTGGGTGGTGGGTGGGGGTGGTTGCAAACGATGTGTACAAGGCCATTACATTAAGGATATTATAGACTCATGCATGTCAAACTGTGGTTAAGGACCAGACCAATTAAAAAAAAATCCATCCTACTAATGTCTCTTATTTATTTATTTATTTATTTTGCAGTACTGGGGCTTGAACTCAGGGCCTACACCTTGAGTCACTCTACCAGCCCTTTATTGTGATTTTTTTTTCGAGATAGAGTCTCAAGAACTATTTGCCCACATTGGCTTCAAACTGCAATCCTCCTGATCTCTGCCTCCTGAATAGCTAGGATTATAGTTGGGAGCCACCAGCACCCAGCATGTTTATTATTTTTGACAGTACTGGGGGTTGAACTCAGGCGCTGTACCACCAGCCCTGATTTTTTTTTTTTTTTTTTGAGGTAGAGTCTTGTTAATATAGCACAGGCTGGCCTTGAATTCTCAATTCTTCCAATGCTCCTGTCCCAGCCTCCTGTGTGCTGGGATTATCAGTGTGTGCCACTACACCTCACTGCCCTCTAGTTTTTTATTTTTTTGTTGGGACTGGGATTTGAACTCATGGCTTTGTGCTTGCAAAGCAGGTGCTCTACTGCTTTGAGCCACACTCCCAGTCAGTTTTGCTCTGGTTATTTTGGAGATGGGGGGGGTGTGTCTCAAGAACTGTTTGCCTGGGCTGGCTTCTCACCTCCCAATCTTAGCCTCCCAAATAGCTAGGAATTACAGAAGTGAGCTACTGGTGCCTGGCTTTATTTTAATTTTTTTTTTTTTGGCTGAACTGGTGTTTGAACTCAGGCCACTTGAGCCACACCTCCAGCCCTCCCTACTTTTATAAAATATATGTAAAGTGAATTAAAAAATGAAATCACCCCATATATGTTTATGTATGTATATAAATAGATATATACAGATACAGATATATTTTGCAGTACTGGGGCTTGAATTCAGGGCATCACGCTTGCTAGGCACTCACTCTATCACTTGAGCCATACACCTAACTTACCCCCCCCTATTTTATTAGATTCAATAAATCTAAAGCTTCTCCATCAAACTATTACAGAATCTAAATGCTTACACTTAAGTTCTGGAATTGTTTCAGTGCAAATGAATATCAAAGTATCAAACAATGT